AGAATTTCCTGATCCTGCTTTGACCAGGACAGTCCTGGTTTTCACCACTCCCAGTATACTTAGTACCTCATTTCCCTCTAGAAGTGTTCCAGGTGGATTAATCAATTACAGTGTCACCCTGTCTAATACATGTCCCTTCAGCTGTTTTCAAAGTCATGTGTTTGGCAGTTACTTAGACTGACAACATTTATTTAACATTTAAACAGTTTAGACACAGGCTCCCACTACTATATTCTTTTTTGTTTCCTCCCAATATTCTCCGTAGGGCCTCCTGTTTCTGAAGATTTTCTATTAAGAAAATCCATAATAATGATGGGTCTTATTTACATGCCACTCAATATATGTCCAGTGAAGAAAATGACTTCACTTATCTGCCTTTGTCAAATGGTTTTCTTTTGAGTGCAGTTTAGGCTTCAAATTCTGTGGTTTCAGGTTATAGATGCTCAAATCACAAAAAGCTTGAGACATTGAAAACCAAAGTCCCTCTTCATAAGTTTGAAATGTCACCAGTTCTCCCAAGGACATAAGATTTTCTTTATGACTCTGCAAATACATCTAGAAGTCTTCATTTGTCAGTTTGATGAATGTACCACTAAAATAACATTACCTTGGCATGTAAATCATTTTCCCATGAAATCTTTAAAGAGCATTGTCAAATGTTTTTTTGTAGCTTTTGATTCTCTTGGTTTTATGCTTCTGAGGTGTCAGGAAATAAAGCTGACTCTCTGGGGTAATTTTCTTTTGAAGTTCTAGATAGCAGGTGTTTATAAAACCTAATAGAAAAGGTATCTTTCTCTTCTTATATGGGTTAGATTTATATCGGAAAATACAATAGCTGACAGAGTAGTTGTGAACTACATTAATAATTCTAAAATTTAAAATCAATATATTCTTCCATCTGGAGTCTTAACTAAACATTTTTAACGTCTTTGAAATCCTCAAAGAAAATGTGTCTCTTGTCAGGTAACTAGAAGCTAGAAGGGCTGGGATTTTCATTGTTCTCATGTCAGATATTGCTCAGATTCACACCCCCACTGCAATCAGTGTTATGCATATGTATGTTGAGAGCTTTCCCATTCAGCAAGTAGATTTATAATTCCTCTGGAGACAAGTCTTTGTTGCAAAGGACTAGCATCTCTATATGCATAATCACTCCTTCTTTATGTGTGCTTTTGCAGAGTGAGCTGGGATGCTTTTTATTTTTATGGACACATTTGAAAGCCTCTGCTTTCAACATTTATATTAAGGTGACAGTACCACAATGTAAGAACATTCAATCAATCAATCATTGAAGATTTAATGAGCATTTATAATGTGCTAGACTATGCTAGGCACTGAGATCACAAAGATGAATAAAGAGTAATTCCTGTATCTAAGCTACTCCTAGTCTAATGAGAAGGCAGATTCATTAATGCATAATTATAAAGAAAAAAATGTGAAAGGTGGAGCAGAGATAAAGGTTTTGTTCAAAACCTCCACTTTTTTTCCCCCATGTAGACGTGGGACTATGGAAAGTGAGTGTAAACTTTAGTGTTAACTTGAGTGTCACTTGGTCCACGAGAATGCAACTTGGTCTCCTTTCCTGCAAGGAGAATCTGATGGCCTAACCCCACCCTGTCCTCCACTGGGAGCTGGACCACTCTGGTTTGGGGCAGCCTGAGGGGAGCTGCAGGTCCTTGCCTGAGAATGCTCTGAACTCGAATTTGTTTAGTTGTGCAACTCACTTTAGGATCGTATGTGTTTACTCAAGGGGGGCTTGCAGATCCAATTTGGAGTCATCCAACTCTTATGATAGGAAATCCAAGCTCCCAAAGGACCCTAGAAACAGACCCTGGTCTCTTGACAGGGCATTACTTGGGACTACATTAGGTCTGAAAAGATAGGAAGAACAGGATCTCAAGAGTTCAGGTGATTATATAGAGTTGGTGATGGGAAGTTACATACCGACTGCATATGTTGGGCATTTGTCCAGAATGGGACCTGCTCATGCTATCTTTAACCTACTAGATTGTATTGACCTTAATCCCCTCTGAAGCAGTCTAAGTGACATTTTTGAAAACAGGGTCATAGTTCAAGCTCCTTTTCATACAGTTGGCAGCTCTGATCCTGTCCTGTCAGTCCTTTCCCCATTCCCAATTCTATTCATATTCATACCATCTCTTCCACAATAGGGTATAGAATGCAAGCTTCATCTCTTATAGTTGAGGCTGTCTTACATAAAGATTTCTTATATAGAGAAAGAGTCACAGCACTCAGCTCTGGCCTTGATGGAGGAAGGTCCTAAGCAGAAGCAAGGCTGCTTGTCAAGGAAGATTCTGGCACTGAAGGCAGGGAGCCCTGTGGACCCTTCTCCCAGCAAGAAGGTCAGCCAGTACCTGCATGCTTGACATGGAAGACATAGTTCTTCCTTCAGTCCGCAGCACGAAATACCTGTATTCAAGCATCTTTGACCTTGAACTGCTGACCAGCTGCTGTCAAATTCATGTCTGGACAAATTAATATCTGCAGAAGCCAGTCAGTAGACTAGACCAGTACTGGTCAACAATGACCTTATTACTAATCCAAGGTGTAAGACTAACTGTGAAGACAATCTGGCAAGTTTTTTGTATAGCTAAATTTATTTGGTTTAAAGGACTCTGAGATTGTTTTTCCTTATCTTTGGTGTTAGAGGTCTTCCTATTAAAGGCAGTAGATGATTTTTCATTTTTAATGTTTCTGTCAAAACAAAAGTTGGCAATTTTATGTTGGTTCTACAAATTGGGGGGGAATGTTTTGCTGCTCCATGAAACAGGTTTGGGAACCACTGATCTAAGAGTTTGGTATAACTGTTCCCTGGAGCTTTCTTAACCTTGACACTTTTGACATTTTGAGGCAGATATTTCTTTGTTATGGGTGGTGGGTTGTTCTGTGCATGGTAGGATGTTTAGTAACATCAGTGGCCTCTACCCACTGGATACGAGTAACAACCCACCCCACCCTGATGCAACAACTAAAAATGTCTTCAGACATTGGCCAGTGTCTCAAGATGGGTTGGGGTGGATTTGGTGGGGACTGTGCTCAAAATGTTTGAAAGTTCCTGTTTTCCAGGAACTCTGGGTTCTTGGTGGCTCATGAAGGTTCTTGGTGGCTTAGATAATGGCACGCTTGTGGCAGAGTGCTAGTCTAAGCAAGAGTCTATGTGTCAGGACCAGAAGGGCATAGCAAAGATTTGCATGGATCCATAATGGAAGACCACAGGAGAATGAGGAGATCTCCACCGATGTCAGCAGGGAGAGATGATGACAACAAAGATGGATTCTTGGCATTGTGGCACCACAGAGGCCCTTGAGAGTAGGAAGAGATCCAGAATTGACCAAGATTAAGGTTTTTCCATCTTAGTGATATGAACACTTAGAAAAGAAATTAAGTACAATTATGGAAAAAATAAAGTTGCAATTCATGTACACCAGAATTTTTTAAAGCTGGGTTAGTATTCATTATACATAGGTATTTATGATACTTTACAGTATTTGAAGGACCTTCTGCTTTTATTTTTTTCACTTTGCAAAAATCTTATTGGTCTTATTTCTGTCTTCATTTTATACATGTGGAAATGGAAACACAGAAAGGTTAAGTGAGTTGCCCAAAGTCACACAGCTAGGACTTGAGCAATGACTCAAACCCTTGGCCCCATTCACTCTACCATTACTGGTTCTTGATGTTGTTCAGTATTCCACCTAAGGACTAAAGTGAGACCTTCCTGTGAGGCTCTCGGAAAATGCTGATATGGTACCAAAATGCTTTTAGTGTTCTGCAATTTAATGCTCAGATGTGTGGAGGGCAGAGGGTTCACATGCCTGAGCTCTGCTGCTTCATCCTAGGCTCCCTTCCTATTGTGTTCTATGCAGTGTTCTGCTCTCATCTCAGAGGTGGAGAGGCAAGGGTGTACTTTGAATGCAGTGCAGGGTCCCAGCCCCAGAACGGTGGGATGAGGTGGAGGGTCAGGCCCTAAAGGGCCTCCTGACTTAGATTAGCATGCCCCATCCAGATGAGTGGATGCTGTTCTGCTTCCATGACCCTGTGCTCACATTGTAGAATTTTGTTTGTGTCTTTCACCAGAGTGTGAGCAATGAAGGCAAGGACTGCATCAGGCTTGGTCCCCATTGCATCCCCTGCCTGGCATGTAGTAGGTACTTAAAATATTGACTGAATGAATGGACAATTGGATGGATGGATGGATGGATGAATTTTGGGCTACCTCAGTATCCCTTACACAATCCTAGCCCTGTACCCCTCAATAGCAAGGCCCCTTCTGAGGGATGTTTGGGTTCAGCTTCCTTTATCTTACCCAAGAAAGCTATGTAAAAATAGCTACTTCCGCTGCAGGCCGCTCCACCTCCTTCTTCCTCCCCTCCTCCCAAATCTCTCCTTTATTATCGTTTCTATCTACCCTTTTAGTCAAGGTATCTGGAATATTTTTCCCTCTTCCATCTACATGTTTTTTTCCAGCTTATGCTTAATTGTCAGCTTCCTTTAAACCCTCTTTAGAAACAGGAAGCACATGTTATAAATCCATATGAGCAGATACTTTGCTCTTTCTCATTTTGAAAAAAAACTTTTAATTAAAATTCATGGTAGAAAAAAATGCTAAAGTGGCAAGTTGCCTTTCTAATTTATTACCATGTCTTATTTTAGAATTTACTTTTGGTAACTAATCTACATTATTAAATAAGGTTCACTTCTTTGGAGTCACTGAGTAATTGCTGTGTTGGGTAAGTATTGTTCTTATGATATTATTAGTTTTATCACATGTGCTAAGTTGTTTTTAGGAAGTAGCCTCAGCGTTACTTGAAAAGAGATGGAAAATACTTTATATATCCCACATCCAGTGAATTTATAATTAAAACAATGTCACAAATGCCGTCAATTTTCATTGGATAATTTTATTAAAAATTTTAAATGCAATATGTGATTTAAAAAAAAAGCTAAACCCCTTAACAGATTCTAATTTATTTTTCAAGGCACCATGACAGAGAAGCCTATCCAAAAGATTATGATATAGAGGGTCCTGAAAACATTAAAAAACTGTGTAATTCAACATATTGGCGACTTGGAACTGATGAACCCCCAGTAAGTAGTTGCTGCTGATTTCTTTAGATCTTGAATCTTCTTCCTAGTGAAACATGGAAAAATAAAGGGAGGAGCTCTTTGTTGGTGCCACCCCTCCATGCTGTGTTGGGTATTTAGGCAGGTGACTCAGTCACTGGATGCTTCAATGATGTTACCTGTAAAATGTGCACATGTCATAAGGTTGTTGGAGAAATTAAATGAGATAAAGCAAATAAAGTGGTTGACTCAGTGCCTGGCACATAGCAAGTGCTCAAGATACCATCCATGCTGTTATGATGCTGTTGCTGCAGCCACAGCATTTTGTTCCATGACTCCTTTAATCTTCACAATAACCCTGTAACGTAGGTGGTATTATCTCTGTTTTATAGAGGGGGAGAAACTCCTAGAGGTTAAGTGACTTAAAGTCCCCAGTTAGGGAGTTGAAGAGTGAGACTTTGAATTCATTTCTTTGATTTCAAGTCCTTGTATTTGTCGTGAGGCAGTAGAGTTGTGAGTTACTAAAACACGCTGGGATTATTCTCCTAACTTTTGTATGACCCAGTTCCAAAAGGAATATTCATTGCACGAGTACTTCCTGTTTGAAGTGTCATGAGTGGGTTACTCCTTGGCTATTTAGGTGCCTGCCCAATTGGTGTAAGGCAGGAACACACCTCTCCAGAGGCCCCCAAATTTTATGTCCTACCGTGTCAAGAAATCTGGGCTAGTTGAAGACTCAGTTCGGCCTTATAGGATGACCTTGGGGCTGAAGAGCTGGTAATTTGACTAGAGCAGGTACAAATGTGTTGAGAAGACTGGGTTTGTATCATACTCTGCCCCCAAAGGCAGGGCCATTTTGAAATAGGGCAAGCCAAGGAAGATCCATAATTCTATGTTGGACATGGGTCTAGAAGATTCTCAGTTCTCCAGGGTGATGGGAATGAATTAGCTTAGCAGGGCTCATGCTTGTTTCTTCCTGCCTTTTATAGTTAACAATGGATAGAGAATAATAAGGATAGCTGGAAAAAATGGACATTTATTATAAAGATGCAGCTGCCTGGAAATGGAATCAAGGACACTTACAGGAACCAAGACATCTCTAAAGCAAGACATCCTCCCCCCTCCTCTCTCTCTCTCTCTCTCACACACACACACACCAGTGTCTCATTGACATCCTGATTTTGTGCTGCTCAATGTCTTTTTGCCCTATAGCTCAAATCTCAAGGGCATTCTGATGGTTTCCTCAGTTTCCACATTGGCCTCTTGCCTCTACACCAGGCTGCCTTTTTGGTCACTAGCCAGCACATGGAGGGGTTCCCAAGTCTGATGCTCAGTTCTGTTGGTAGCCACTCGGCCCTGCCCCACCAAACCCAGCTTAGCCTTGCTTTCTTGAGCCATGGGGCTGTGTAGTCAGGACAAGAGCAAGTTAGGCAAAGCACACATTTCCTGGCATGCACTTAGCATCTTTGACTCTTAAAAAAACATTTATTTTTGATTTCCAAATGAAAATGTTCTTGGTCTCTGGGTTATAGGAGGAAGTTAGTTGAAGTGAACTATGAGATGTAGGAACCTCAAACTTTCATTCTGTGCATTATACATATTACAGCAGTCATGCCTCAGGTCTAATAGAGGGTATAGAAATAAGATAATATTTGCCTTCTCCATGACTTTTGTTCATCGTCATTGAAATCTTGTCCTTATTGTTCCAGGTTTACAGATATATTAGATAGGAATGAAAATAGATCAAGGGGTCAACTATTTCTGACAAAATTGCTATTCTCATATCCTAATAGTAAGTTACATTTTTCTAGACTTTTTGTGTATAAAGCACTTGTTCACCCGTCTTGTTTCTTGCACTTCTCAACAAAGTTATAAAGTTGATAAGAAAGATATTATTATTCCAGTTCTAAACCCAGACCCACTGATCTTAAATGATTCACCCAAGGTCCCAGGTATAAAAAAAAGGGGGATACACAGAGACTTCATATTTTCATATGTCAGGTATGATGTTAGATGTAGCAGAAGGATGGTTGAGTTCTTCTTCTTGCCAGAGTTTTGATAGAGACCTAAATACTAGAATACTCTCAATAGTTGGTGAAAAACACACATCTTAAAGCAAGATGCTAGACCATTTAGGCAGGACCTGCTAAGATATTCTAAACTAGGTTAGGCCAGTATGAGTGATTATGTCCTTGAAGACTAGAGTTCAAGGATTTATTTTGTTGTGGGATGCATGTCCCTTCTTCCTCAGTTGAGAGGTGTTTCAAGGAAATAAGAGAGATTAATATGTGTATCCTGGAACTTAGAGGGCGTAGGGTCCAGGTGTCTGACACTTGTGAAACAGCAAGGCCCACCTGCTGCAGGATTCCATGCCTAAAGTAGCACCCAGCTGGGAAGGTGAGAAGTTTAAATCTAATACAGTTAGCAATTTTGATGATTTCACTGGACTGGAAAATTTCATAACTAAAATGAGATCCTTCTCAAGGTTGAGGGGCCTAACGTTCTGCATGGAGCACTGGGTGTTATGCACAAACAATGAATCATGGAACACTTCATCTAAAACTAATGATGTAATGTATGGGGATTAACATAACAATAAAAAAATTTTTAAAAAAAGAATATTCAAAGTTAAAGTGTTTTGAGTTTTCAAAATTACCAACGTTTGTTAAGTATAAAATTGCTGTTCTCTATAAATAAAAAAATTTCAACTGTCAAAAAAAAAAAAAAAAGATTGAGGGGCCCAGAAAAGTTACGGGACTTGCGTAAAATTTCCATTAAGTGAAAGGAAAGAACTAGCCATCCATGTGGGAAGAGGCAGCTTGATTAAAATGAAGTTGCTTCATGATTGCATCCTACTGATGGGATAGGATCAATTCAATAAAATGGTTACATGAACAGTGCCTCATTTCATCCTCTGGACAACTCTTCAGGCTAGCACTCTAAGTGGCCACATTGTGTAAATGAAGAAACTGAGGCCAGGTGAAGCTCGATCACTTGTTCAAAGTCAAACAGCAAGAAAGTGTATTAAAAATTAAAATCTATTTTTACCCTCTGGTTCCAGAGTCTAAGATCTTAAATACTTCTCAAACTGTCTCCTAGAGTGCCAAGTGATTCCACTCCCAGCCTAGTGGCCTTTTTACCCCCCAAACACTGCATCCTCCTTGCAGAAAATGAACCTGATTATTTTTTTTTTTGCTCTGGCTTGGGCATGTGTTGGGGCATTGGTTTCTTATGTCTTATCTATAACCCCTGTCTTGTTCCCTGAATTATGTCCACACACATGCTAGCTAGCCCCATTCCCATCTGTTTCCTCTCCTACATGTCTTCTTAGCATTTTTGGATTTTTGCGGTAATGCTGCTGAGTGGTTGATTTTTTTGACCATCAGTATTTCTATTCCACTGTATGAAGTTCTCCTTGCCCTTAAATGCTGCTACTGGGGCTAATATGAGCATTGTTTATTTGTAACAGGATTTTAAATAGGCCTTTCTTTGTCTTTATTTTGGCTGAGACTCCAAAAGGCCACAAACAAATCCATAGTCCCATGTGCCAAAGTGAAATATTAGGCCACTTAGGTGAGACCCTCGAAGATGGTGCCCTTAGGTCAGTACTCACATGAAGGATATAAGAGGATTGAAATCCAAGAAACCAAAAGAAGAGTTTGAGAGTAGAAACAGGGTTTTGGAAAAGGTGTACTGTGAATCTCATCTACTTGGTGAAGGGTGCCTGGTGAAGTTATAGATATGAGGCGCTGGTGATCTTTCCAAAGCAGCAGAGCAGAAAGAGGGGAACTAGCTACATGTACATCATTGGTGAGACAAGGATAATTGAGTACTTAGGCCCAGAGGTGGCTTTTGGGGATCAGATGTAGAAGAGAAATATGACAAAGAGCCATTTTAGAACCTGCCCAAGAGCCTCTCATGTAGGGATGGGAGGGACAGTGACTGGATTCCCAGGGGCTGAGGCAGGACAGTTAAGTCCAGAAAATGCCAACCTGTGTCATGGAACATAACCACTGAATGTTTCCAGAAGTGATCTCAACATCTACAGAATATTCTAAAAAAGTCAGCTTTGAACATCCATCAGTGCCAGAGAGGGTCAGACATCAGACATGCCCAGAGGAAACGAAAACAAGAGTATACTTCTACCTTTCTTGCATTTGCCTCTCTCCTTCCTCGTATCCCACATCTTAAACCCTCAAGAAGCCAGAGGGAATTGAGGAGTAGGGAAGAAGTTTAAGGGGGACAATTGAGAAGAAGCCAACTGTGCCTGCTTTTCCCACTGAGGTATGCCAGGCCAAAGCTGACCTAAACTACAGGAATGAGTCTTTCATTTCACATGAAGTTTTGGCTAGTACATGGTACTGGGGATTTTACTTACCTCAGTGAGACTTCTCTTGGGACAGAAGTAGCCAGAAGATGTTTGTATTATCTGAGAGTGGCCACACAGGTCCTGGCAATTGTCCTATATTTTATCAAGGAGCATAAAAAAGAATTCGCCTCTCCAAATGTCTATGGATGGGCAGTGATGGAGGAAGAACAGATTTGTTTTCTGATTGTACCTACTTACAAGTCCCACTTGTTCAGTGAGCTCGTTGCCCATTTGTATAAAAAAGAGCAGCCCATTCACATCATCCCTCCCTATCCCTTTTCCTTACTTTAGTTTTCTTCATGGCATTTAAATCACTGGATATACTTAAGACTTCTTTAGTTGTTAATTGCATATATCTCTTGACTAGAATACTAGCTCCATGAGAGAAGGGACTTTGGTTTGTTTTGTTCTCTGCTGTATCTCCAGTTCCAAGAATGGTGCCTGGTCCAGAGTGGGTCCTCAATAAATACTTGTGGAAGGAAGGAATGAAGGAAAGAAATAAGGAAAGAGACAAAGAAAGAAGAAAAGGCAAGAAGGAAGGAAGGGAAGAAAAAATGGAGGGAGGAAAGAAGGAAAAAGGACTATATTCCACAAATATATATTGAGGCCCTATTATTTTGCTAAGTGCTGGGGTAAGAAACAATTCAAAACAAGG